AACTTAAAATCACATTTTTATTTTTTACGTTCCTATAGGTATATTTTATTTTACTAATTTAATATATACGCACTACGGTCCTACTGTATATTAAGATTTTAGAATATACAATATAATTATAGTTTAAATATTTTAAAAGTTGGGCGAAATTAAAAAAATCCCATAAAACAATTACAAGTCAAAATATATACAACTAAAAAAAAAAATTACATTCATCGTTTCACTCAGAATCTAAAATAGTAAAAGTGAAATAAAATTATATGTTTTTTCGTATGTATTAGCTGTGTGGTAGGTATGGATCGAATTTTAGAATGATATAGATTCCTATTATTAGACCAATGGAAAACAATATACATGAATACATGATGTAAAAAAAGAATCATCGGAGTTCTACATTATTCGTTAACAATAGATGAACCTCCAATACAATATAATATGAATACTACAGTTGTACCAATAATGATGACATATTATTTTATTACTATTTCAGTTATGATGAAATATCATGATCAACATTAGTACCTGGAGAAATTTGATAGTTGAGGGATAGGTGACATTCGAAAAACCACTATGCCATTTAAAATATTTTTTCGGGATATAGGGAGTATTTTTATTGTGGATTATTGATAAAAGATAGAGAAAATCTAGTTTTTGTAAAAATGCATTATGTTATGATAATATTTAAAAACCTTTAAAAACTTTATTTATTTAAAATTGTTACATCTAAATTATAATCAAAATGTACCTATAAATTTCATTTTTCTATTTAAATTTGCTTATCGGTATTAGTTTTTTCTGATTAAAAATAATATAATAATAATTGTATAGTTTCATATTTTTATATTGTTGCACAATATATTTTAGATTTTTTCCTGATTTATAGTTATTAGATTTTAAACATAATTATTTCTTTTTTTATTGAAAATTTTCATTTTACGTTTTTACGATTTTAATTTCGAAGTCTATCATACGCGCTGAGGATCGTCGTTCCAATCACGAGTTCCATTTACGCGTCGTTCCAACAGTCCTAAAAAAATGAAATTACCCACCGATGAACATTATTATTGACCTGTTGGTTATTGTTGAGTTAAATTTTAAACTGATTTGTATATAAAAGTTATAAAATAATTATTACTGTTATGATATAAATCATTAATTTAAATTTTTTTCATTTCGCGATATACATTGGGAATTGGTATTATTATTTAAAAAATTTAAATTTCTATATTATTTTTGATTTCATAGAGGATTTTTATCAATTTTTGTTGGATATTTAAAATTTATTTTGTAATCGATCTTATGATTATTGGTATAAGGACATAGTATGTTTTGAATTTTTTATGAAATCATTATCCAATACCTAGTTGAAATTTATTGATTTCAAAGTGCTTTCAATACCATTATTTAGATTTCTATTGATTTTTTTTTAAATTACTAACCATATTAAAATCTGATGGTTTATTATAAATAAATTATATGTGGCTGCAGAACTTTAGATTGAGTAACCAATTAGTTCCTGTTAGTAAGAATTACATTTTACTAGTCAGACATATATTACTGTATTTTACTAAATAGCTGTATAACATTAACAATATACAACTAAAACACTAAAATAGCTATATTATAATATAATTAACATATAAATCATATGGATAGGTACAAATTAAAAATATGTTGCACTAGTTAACGAGCATTCTCTCTAAAATGAAATATTGTTTGTATCCAAAACACAGATAAATATTGGGGACTTTCATGAATATTGTATTACTTCAACCAATGCTTTTATTAAGTTTATGAGTTATGTTAATAATATTTATCCATAATAATAACACGTCTACTGAATTATTAAGACATGGCTGATAATAGAAAGTTGTTGTAAATTTTCATTTTCATCAGACTAAAACCACACCGTGTGATGTACCACTCTTTTTGTCATCAACCACATTTTGGAGCTAATTTTCTTTGTATTCGTCGGTTTTAAATTTGGTGAATTCCATCTTTGCACTTAAAGTTAGATGGAATCTTAGAACATAGAACTATTGATATTATATTATTCATACTAATGTTTTCGTACTATGTTTCAAAAACCACCTAAAGTTTATGATATAATATATTAAATTTTATAATCTTATAGTTATGTAATAAATACAAACTAACAATAGTTAGTATTGATTAACAATAGGAATTTCATATTTTAATATCATGTCTTAGAATAACCAAATACAAACGATTGCGATTACTTTTCCGATCATAAAAGGCCTTAACTATAATACGCTATTCTATGCCTGAAATGTATCTTATTTTTATGTATTATTATTTTATGCTTAAAACGAATGGGCAATATGCCCGAGAAACTCACTTCGCTCAGACTTTACTTACCTATATTATGTATATAATTTCAAAATACTGTGACATTCCGTCATGCATGTTATTGTAGTATGTGATACTTTGCTTGAATAGCATATTATAAGATTATATTTGTTTGTTTAGTACTCCAGTCTAAATATTGCTCGAATGTACTCTATACCACTATTTTACAGCCCAAATACGATTATCTATGAGAAAAAATACTTTTCTGGTACGTAAATACATTAACAGTGAATGAATACAATTCAATAGTAATTTTAGTGATTACAAACTGAAGTATTAATATTGGATATAATACTTGATGTTTATTTTAAGCGTAATCGGTGGATTTATGTGGTGCAGGTTTTGAAGTCTACGGGAATTTGACATTGATTGAAGTGGACCAGACTAATTAAAGATGATTCATTGTGAAATATTGACGTATGCTATTTGGGAAATGGGTTTATTGAGTGGAACGCTTTATTGCGGTATTTGTACATCATATCCACAAAACTATCATTTATAATTCCAAATGAATATCCGTAAAATTGGTTTTTAATCTCTAGACGAAATGAATACTTTCCATCAAAATAAAATATGAAGGGAATAGCAAAATATATTTTCATGGGTGACCGTTATGTTACATTTTGTAACATAAATTATTATTATGTTAAACAATCGCTAAACGAAATAAAAAAATGCATTGCGAATGTGAAAGGTGTAATTTGTGAGCTTATTTTTTTTTTAAGTTAGCGTAACCGTCTCGACGGCCTGCAAATATTGAAAGAGTCATTTACTTTCAAATTTATAATGGGTATTTTTCATCTGAGAGCGAACGTGAAGGATATTTGTTGAAAATGTAGTTTTGAAATGTAATGCGTAGTAAGTGTATACAAAGGCCGCAAATGGGTGGATGAATGTGAGTGGAAGGGTGGGCGAAACCACTACTTCGGTCCACTGCACGTTACCGCAGGTTCCACCAGAATTGGAAATGAATGTGTTTTTTAACGTTTACGTCAAGATCCTGGTGATTTTTTTTTGGTATGTTTCCATAAAACTGTATTTGAATCTAAAAATATAATTTTTTTTAAACGTCAGGAGAGCGGTGTGCTAAGTGATATTGTCACTATATTAGGTACCGCGTTGGTATTATGCGGTCAAACGATCGACCGAAAACCATGACGTGGTCAAAGGCTATTATACTGATAGTATTATAATAACAAGTCACGTGGATGGTTGACTGATTTATTTTGAACGACATTGTAAGTACAAAGTTGTGACCAATAATATGACCGTTTTAATTAAATTATTATACATGATGATATATACAATATGCGTATAAGGTAGGTAATCTCTATTGACATTTTGAGTTCAATGAATAATAAATAATAATAATTTTAAATAAATAATGTGGCACAAATGGTTAATTTGGGTTTATCGTTATTTTTTTGTTGTATTAAATAACTACTGTGTTACAACAAAAATTGTCTTTATAATGACGGAAATGGATTACCTACTATATTTCCAAAAGCCCGAAGTATTGGCCTTATGATGAGCATTATATGATATTACCGTAAAATTAGTTTTAAAATTATAAAAAGGTCAAAATCCAATAGTTTGAGCTTTGAGACTGATCAAATTTTGTGCCATTACATAACTTGATCATATGATGAATATTAGTTAATCCAACATGTAATTTTTAAAGTAAATATTGTTTTCAGTAGGTATCTGCTATTTAATAAAGTTTACAAGGTAAATTTTCCTATTAGTTTAATATACACATTAGGAATAATAAGAGTAAAAACATTTTTGGGTGAGCTCAAATGTCCACAGCTTTAGCTCAATAAAAAAGTGGAGCTTTTTACATTCGTAATAAACGTAATTACAACCGTAATAAAAAATAAATGTATACAAACCATATTTTTATTATTTTAAATGTAAACATGACAATTAGTTTTTTTTATTCAAATACGTTGTATAACGTTGTTTTTTTTTTTAGTTAGAACTTTTTTTAAGTACAAAATTAAATTAAATATGTAATATTTAGATTTATAAATATTTGATGCGATATAAATTAATGTTCAGTTATTCAAAAAAATGATAAACTGTAATTTTTTTTCGATTTAAATTATTTATTAACTAATATAGGTATACCTATGCAAATAAAATACATATTTTTAATTAAAATATTTTACACATCGTGTACAACGCTGCACAGGAACAACAATAACGAAAATGAATACCGATGGATAAAAAATAGGCAACACTAAAATACCGATCACTATCCATACAAACCACAAACGAGAAAAAAGAATCTATATGGATTGGGGAGATTATCCTCATCCAGTGGAGTAGCCAGGATTATGAAAGGAGGGTTTAAGTAAAAATTAAGTTATGTGTTTTACAGTTTTCATATATGAATAATATAAACAATACATTTATTAGGGGGAAAGATCAATGGGAGGGAGGATTAAACAACCAAATCCCCTTTGGCAACGCCACTGTTCCCTTCACATAAATAGTAACCCCAACCTTGTAAAGTAAATACCAGCCGAATTACAAAAGAAACCGTGTGGACAGTAAACACACCACATAGGCAGCTCAGCACGTACTTCGTTTACTAATCGGTACGGTAACGTATACCTAACTATATATTATAAGGGTGTATTCGAACGAACGATATTCATTCTTCTTCTACCTTTCCGACTTGACAACACATCAACGATCTGAAATGATGAAACGGAAGGAACATCCACTGGCAGTGGCATTCTTGAATACGAGGAGGCTAAAAGGGATAGGTACTTCGGCAAACGAGCCGGACGAAGTTGAGGTTTCATTGGAGTAGCGGCACAGACACTTTTGCAAGTACGAGGTGGCAACCAACGACTCCGACGCGTGTTACACGGTGTTACACGTGGACACGTGGTTACGGCAATCATCTCGAACAGTTTACCTACCATAATTGCCACTGACCACAATCAAAGGTCCTTTTAAGAACCATAAACAGGGTCTCGTAACTACCGAACCAAAAACAAAACCGAAACTATAACCGAAAAAATTGTATACCGGTATTAACTTCATAACCGAAACCGAAAAAAATTGTAAACCAGTATACAAAATCGAAACCAAAACCGAAATTTCCTAATACGGGTATTGAAAAATTGAAACCAAAATCGAAAAAAATAAAAACTGGTATACAAAATCAAAACCGAAACAGAAAATTTTTCAATCGGTTTCAAACCTTGGTTAAAACCATATCGAAGTACAACTTTATAATAGTCATAGGGTAGTACCATATCATAATATCATATACCTACTATTATCTATGTGGTTAATACTTGCCTATGTAGACGAGAAAATTGGCATTTGAAATAAAATAATTATTCTGTTAATATGGAGTCAGTGATTGGCCAGCGATGCAGCTACTGATGGCCAGAAAAGTGTAAATACAGATCATTTACTATATTTACACTGAGAAACATAGTATGTGCTATTAAAAATAGCCGTCGAATAATATTATATAGGCCAGTAGGTTACCGAGGTTTGACAATAGTCATTAAATGTCATAACCGTGGTGCACAATACAAAATATGACATATTATGTTCTCATGGTAACACCGAAAAAAAAAAAAACTATAAAATCATAATCCACAGTTGTTGTATCTACAACAGTTGTTCCTGTACTAGAATCTAGGACAATAATAATAATAATAATAATAATATAGTATTAATAATATTATTATGATTAGGTATCGTAATCTGTGGTCAATCGTTAGATTGCTGCGAAGTGAAAAGTGAAGGAATAATATACAAAATAAACGACAAATGAATAATAATGGATTTAAACATGCATTAGCCACTAATACAGCAAAAAAAAAAAAAAAAAAAGATTTTAGTGGGGATCATGCCCTTTATAATCGGCTACTGCACTGTTCGCGATATTTGTGATTGTGATGAGGTCTGGCAGACATTTTAATGTCAATTCAATTAATCAGTACATCTCACCAGCAACACTAACAGAAACTAAATTTTATTAAAAAAAATTATCAAGGGATTTTTTTATTTTACTACCTATCTACTTACCTATTTATTAAAGGAATTTAAATTATCTGATTTATTTACATCACTCTAGACGATCCTATTTCACATACTAATTGTACATACTACATAGTACATATTCTAGTTATTATTTTAGGGGCCTGGTTTGGCTGGCCGGTGGTTAGGTCACTCACCCCTTATAATAAACCAAAATGTTTCTGTGATTGATGGTACGTAATAATACTCCCTTTCCATTTTAATTATTTATTAACATTGTGTATTGAACATTTTGAACGATTATTTACAAGTTAGTTATTTATTCAAATAATTTTTTTTTTGATCATCATTCATCACTGATGAGTTTAAAATCGTGGAGTGGACTTTAAAGAGCTGATTTCAATTGATAATAATTACACATTAAGTACATATGGATTCAATGGGTTACCTATACTATCTATAGTCTATACTAGGATATTTTGTAATTAATTAAATATTTTAATGTATTGAAAACATCAGTGAACTGCTTCTTTGAACAGTATATATTATTATGTTTAGGTAGTCATTCGCAGTTTTTGTCTGGCTCATGACATCCTGGCCTTTCTCGCATAGTAATTTTTAACGGACCACAAAGCACAATACAAATTTAAAAAAAATTATGACTACTTGCCTACCTATTAATAGGTACATTACAATAAGAGTATTGTTAATAATTATAAAAAAAAAAGTGTTAGCAATGTTTTTCATAATTTGTTTACAATTTGTACCTCTACATACATTTAAAACAATATACCTTCTTGCAACAACACAAAATCAATAAACGTAATAAATTTAATATAACATTAATTAAATAAATGATAATTTTTTTTTTAAATGGTAGTTTTTTTAATTTGTTGTTATAGTTGATATCATACTACACATTTATAATTTCATTTTTGGTTTTATATTTGAGAATGTCTTTTTAAAAAAAATAACAGATAAGTTAAAGAATCCAGATGTCGTTGGAAAAGTCTAGTTTTGAAAATTCTTAGTTTTGAAAATACTTGTTCACGCTTGACTTGTGTGCATGGAAGTATAAGCACCTATTTGAATGCTACTGAAAATGTATTGAATACACCAGTGTCGTTAGATAAAAAATTATTTAATGACCAACTCACGTCTCATAAGTAATTTAAATATGATACATTTTCATATGACACATATATAAGTATATGATTTATGACCATTTTTCAATAATATTAAAGAGTCAAAATCAATTACAAACAAAGGCGCCAATGGGGGGGGGGGGGTGCTAAGCCCCACCCAAACTTAGCCGTAGCCCCCAAAAACCTAGGACATAAAATTTTTGTTATATACTATATGCAATGGTTTGCTTGCCTTTAATATATTCAGCCCTCCCAGCCAAAAGTTGAAATTGCGCCTATGATTACAAGTATTATTGAATTAATTACCCAATAAAAATGGTTTAAATCAAATACTTATGAATGTTAACATACTGCAGGGTGCCACTAGTGCCAGAGTATAATATAATAATCATATATGTGGAAACAGTAAGTTAAATGTGGACAATAAACACGTCGAGACACTCGGACATGACGTATGAGTATTTTGAGGACTATCCAGTCTGAAGTGACTTTAGAAATAAAATAAATGTTTTCATAAATTATCTCATAATGATTTTTATAGGTGTGAATTGGGTAACTCTCCGCCAAAATATTAAATGTCCGCTCAACAATATTTTAGAAAAAAATTAAAACAAACAAGCTTAAGTAGTTATGAAGCATTACACATTGAGAAAAAAGTTAAATATATTTTATGCGATTAATATCATCTATCAATGCTATAGTACATGCTTACCATAATATTAAACGGTGGGCAACACTCTTGCAATTCATGTCATCATACATCGTAGCATTAAATGTTAATATTGTTAAACATTTATTTATTAGGTATGTCTATAAACCAGCAAAGCCATCAGCAAGTTTTTATTTGGAAATCATCCAACAACGGCGTTAGGTCATTTTATAAAATTAATCTCTAAATTTTGTTCTGCCAAGTTTACGTTAACATGCGAAGGATCAACTTTCGAAACATAAATAAAAAAAATCACAAACAATATTAACACCGACAAGCCATTAGGTCATCATTAGAACACTTTACCCCTCTCGAAGTATGTGAAATTCTGTTATAAATATATTATAATAGGTTTAGATATATGGTTGTATATACTATTATTAATTATTAATTTGTCTAAAGTAAAATTCTGAGTACACAATTTTTGATATTTTAAATTGCTTTAAGAAGAACTTACGAAGACTTTACGATGTTCAAGGTTTTTTTTTACCGAGAAACTAATATTCTATTAAAATCATCTGAAAAGTTGAAGTTACAAAGCGTAATAAATAGCTAAAAATAGAGACAAAATATTTTTAAAACTATATGCTATTTCTAGAAATTTGTAAGTAGTATAAATATGTACCTATTTCGTGTTTTCTACAGCTATTCCTTTTGAGTTACAACACAATCGATTTGGTCGAAAACTGTAGCTTTTGTGTAAATATTTCAGTTCTCTTGCAGCTTTTTTGTTTTGCCATAGTTGTTTCTATGATATATTGGGCCGATGGCAGACATACGTGTGGTGGGTGGGGACACATTCCCCCATGACCTTTTTTTCAATATATACATATATTGCATTTTTCTGATAGCAAAAATAATCAACTGTACTAGGTATAGGTGGGTAATAAAGTAAATGTACAGATTATGTATATATACACTGTATATTATTATTTGCCTATATGAAATATATGAGAATTATTATACCCCACTTGGTGATCAAGATTCGAGAATGTTCTGTAACATAACCCTCCTTCTCGACCCTTATAGCTAGATTAGGTTCATCGGGGAGTAATAAATATAACCTCAAACAAAGTACTGGCAAAAAAATAAAATAGTTTAATTAGAATGTGTGTACTGTTATTAATATCTATAATTAACTAGGTAACTTATTAAAGTTTATATTATTAATAAATGTATCTTCTAATCACAAATTATATTTTTGATGATAAAATAGTTCACGTTAAAAAATTTGCCATATCCCTTTTATGACAAAATAATTTGACCGCCACTGCGTCGGATTGAAATTTAAGCCCCTCTCCACCTAAATTTGAAACTCTATATTGGCGAATAATTAATATGATACTTACCTATAGGTACTATTAAATGATTATTATTTTTGTGTCCGAAAAGAAGTCCATTTCCATATTGTCTGTATTGACAAATTTGCATTTAGGGAACAACATATTTATATTCCTATTGAAAGTTTATACAATTAATAGACGCAATCAAAGAAAAGACCTCGGGGAAGTCCTACCTATATATTATAATATTATGCTATATGTAACGCTTCCGTAAATACGCCTCAGATGTTGTGTGCATAGGTTTAATGTCAATTACAATGTATGTCAAACGTAATAATTAAGTTAGTATTTTAATTTTTCAAAACAAAATGTAGGCACCATAATATTATGCAAGCTAATGAAAATAATCAACTTAAATTAATTGAAGTTAAGTGAACACGAGACTGTTAACTTAGAAGTTAATAGTTGACGAATAAAACATTTAACTCAGTAAGCTTAAACTTAATAAGGAAAAAAATTTAACTTACTTCAATATGTCAAATCTACTTTTTGAATTATTACGTAGATCGCATAAGGAGTATCTTGTGTCTATTGTACATTGTCATTGTGCCAATGTCATATTGTACTTGATATTATTTATCAAGAAACAACAGAAATTATAATATTATTACTATTATTATTTAGTACCTATTATATTATTTTCACTTAAAACTGCAGTAGTTATTGATAAAACCATTATAAGTAAAAAGTAGATAAGTACCAACAAT